ATTCACATTAGTATTTCAAATTCACTTGTATTTCAAATTCACATTTGTATTTTAAATTCAGTTCTGTATTTAGATTCACATTTGCATTTCAAATTCACTTTTGTATTTCAAATCCACTTTTGTATTTCAAATTCACTTTTGTATTTCAAATTCACTTTTGTATTTCAAATTCACATTAGCATTTCAAATTCACTTTTTTATTTCAAATTCACATTAGCATTTCAAATTCACTTTTGTATTTCAAATTCACATTTGTATTTTAAATTCACATTAGCATTTCAAATTCACTTCTGTATTTCAAATTCACATTAGCATTTCAAATTCACTTTTGTATTTCAAATTCACACTAGCATTTCAAATTCACATTTGTATTTTAAATTCAGTTCTGTATTTCAAATTCACATTTGCATTTCAAAGTCACTTTTGTATTTCAAATTCACATTAAGCATTTCAAATTCACTTTTGTATTTCAAATTCACTTTTGTATTTCAAATTCACACTAGCATTTCAAATTCAAATTCACATTTGTATTTTAAATTCAGTTCTGTATTTCAAATTCACATTTGCATTTCAAAGTCACTTTTGTATTTCAAATTCACATTAAGCATTTCAAATTCACTTTTGTATTTCAAATTCACTTTTGTATTCCAAATTCAAAGGAGTTGGGTAAACAAGGCCATTTTAAGCCCCACCTGATTTTCAAGTTTTCTCTTTATTTTATTAATCTATGTGATATATGTGTTTCAAAAATGTATGAAAATTTAGGTCAAGGTCATATTCCCCAGGTCAAGGTCAAATTAAAAAAATTCATTATTTTCTACCAAAATATACCTTTTTGGTTAAAATATCACAAATATCTGTAGGAATTTAGTCTCATAGAGGTTGGAATTACAATATATAGTAAATTGGCAATTTGCCAATAATGAAATATTTATATTAATATATTCCTCCCTTCCCACGCACCACTGAAAGAGAACAAAAGTACCTAAAATAATGAAAATACTTTATTATTTTTAATAAAATTCAGAATGTACATTTCATGATTTTCCTCTGCCAATATCATATTTTCCCTCAGGATAAAATTCATATTCCATCCCTCCCATTATATAACCTCTATGTATTCAATAGCAATATCACCCAATTCAATATCGCCTAATAATGTCCTAATATCATAGCAACATCAACCAATTGTCAATCAAATGTCACTCTATATCAATCCAAAATAACCCAAGTATTGGCCTCATATTATTTAAGTAACAGTCCAATATCAACCCTCTTATTTACCAAATATCACCCAATTATTCTGATTGTAATAATATCCCACTGTAAATCCAATATCGGCCAAATATGAGCCAAATAATGGACCCAATATGATAGCGATATCACCCCAATATCAATCCAATATCACCCAAATATTGGCCCAATGTGATAGCAATATCACCCAAATATCAAGCAAATATTGGCCCAATATCAATCCAATATCACCCAAATATTAGCCCAATATTATAGCAATATCACCCAAATATAAGCCCAATTCGATAGCAATTTCTGACAAATATCAATCCAATATTAACTTTATATCTGCCCAATTACCAACATATTGCCATTACATAACAAAAAATATAAGTTCTGATATCAACCTAATATCACAACAACCTCCTCCCAAATCAAGCTTATATTACCTCAATATCACTTCTATTATTAGTTGCAATAGTCTTGACTTGTGAAGCTAAATCTTCTGTTACCTTTCTCTGTTTTCTAGGAGAATTTACCTGCTTCCTACATATGCAGCATGAATAGCATTTGGCCATTTTGAATAATCAACAAAAATGGCAGGCAAAATTTTCTATAAAGTTCTAAAATTCACATCGAGCATAATAAGTCTCCATCAAAATTATTCTTTGTATGCAACAATATAACATTTATGTAACTAAAGAAGCACTTATTAGAGTGGAGACTTGTTATGCTCTATGTGAAAACACTCAAAGGATTACTACCTCCAGTGAATAAAAATGTCACCCAGACTCAGCATGAAATGTCCTTTCAAAGCTTTACTTACCTCTAATCTGTACATATTGTTTAAATCAATTGTATGTATGGATCAAATAAATATATATTTACATAATCCTGGACAGATAAATCAAAAACATTCATTCATAGCTGAGTAAATTGGAATTCATCAAGAGGGTTGTAAAATATGTGAATTTTTTTCCTTCTGGCCCCCACCCTCTTTGAAGGTCTCCAGACACCGTAACAATTTTTTCTAAATTTTTTAAAAAATACTACCCAAAAATATAGACTTCAATCTATGCATTTCTGATGTTTTTTTCTCCTATTCTTAAAAAAAGTTTTTTCACACTTCAATTGGGGCACTCTCTGTTGCTAGTTTACCCAACTCCTTTGCACAGTTCTTCCCTTATTGGATCAACATATTCTAGAGTTTGCGACCAGGTCGTTGAAGTTAATCTCTTTATCTTTAGTTCATCTGGTTATTTGTCATTACAATTTTAGAAACCTTATCTTTATTCCTTTTGCTTCAGTGCTTGTAGATCTAGGTTGATTTATATTGCACTAGACAGGTCATATTGACCCAGGGCCTGTCAATGTGGATATAATTAAATGGTGAACTCTAATCAAATGTCAATTGGGTTAAGCCTTTCACTGATTTTTTTATGGAAATTCAATGAACTGTATGCATTTCTTGCATTTGTGTACAAGTTTCATGTATTTCTTAATGAGTTTCTAATATTTTTGTATATATTTTGTTCATGTATTATTTTTTGTTTAAGTCTGTAAGTGTAATTTCTCGTTTATTACGATGAATAAGTGTCTTATACTTCTTTATTAGTTTTGTACATTCAATATAAGCTTTTTGAGGTATTTAACCTGTTGAGTCATATGTCGTGACATACTTATATAATATATGCCAAGTAATATAAGTCGAGTGCATAGTAATGAAAAATATGTTCAATCTTGCGATTAGATTATAATTTCTCATTAGAGAAAATGTTAAATTTAGCATAGACGATCTTTTCATCCTAATCAATAAAATATGAAATACAATCTGTCTGATTTTTTCTTCTCTTTAACTCTTTTCACTCCTTAACCTGACCGATTTATGGCAATTATATCTTGTCTGTCTCTATTGATCTGCTACCCTGTGCACAGAGTCTAGGTACAAATGAAGACGAAGCTCTCTTTTAAGAAGAGAAGATGCAAAGGGAATTGATCTGCCCATGCATAGATTTGTGTTCTTCGGAACCTGCATATTAAAATCTGTAGTGGCTGTATGGAAAACATCATTTAGAGTAAAAATGTTGAAGTGAGCCTGAACTAAATTGACAATAGGTTACATTAGATTATACAGAGATAAGTAAAATATCCTTTGTTCATTCAACTCATTTTATGAATCCAAGTAGTCACTGAGTGTGTACCAAATTAACCGTGACAGTTGAATGCACGGGGTAAGGTACAACACGAGGATGATGTGATTTGAGCAAACTGATGTTTTCATTGTTTTAGAGAGATTTGGTCTAGTTTCTAGATATTTCTATATGTTAGTGTCTGTAACAACATCCTAGACAGTGAACTTGACCGTGAGTTTCATAATTAAACCTACACAAACTACCAATGTAGTATATGGTATAACGCACGCGTACATTTACCTAAGATATGTTATAACGCAAATTTACATTCCTTGTGTTGTACCTTACCGATACCACGCATTATATCATATACTACATCGGGAGTTTGTGTATGGTTAATTCTGAAATTCACTGTCAAGTTCATTGTCTAGGATGTTGTTACAGACATTTATATATAAAAATATCTAGAAACAAGACCAGATCTTTCTGAAAATATGAAAACATCAGTTTGCTCAAATTTCATCACCCTTGTGTTTTACCTTACCCCGCGCATTCAACTGTCATGCTTGATTTGGTACATACCCTGTGGTAGTGGTGAACATGCATGATGGGGTATACTTTGTCAACAAGTGACAAATTATTACGAAGGTTTAAATAACAGGATGCAACTAATTAGAAAAAAGCTTATCTATTTTTAGCTTTATTTTTATAGTGAAACTGCAGCAAATAAAAACAGAATGATATTATTCTTGGTTAGCTTGATCTGATAAGTTGCTATAAAAAGATATGTCAGGTCAGGGTGACATGAGTCTATTTAGGATGCGTCAAATGTCAAAACAAGTTCTTCCAGAGATGAAGAAGTTTTCTTTGACTTTTGCTATTGTTTTTCTTGCATCTTTTGTTTCTTACTGGAACAGGTTAGTCGGAAGAATTATATTTAAGTTACAGTAAAACATGTACGTCTCATCTGAGTGTCCAATTTGAAGATCTGATTAGGTTTTGAGCATGCTGGGTAATTCACTTTGAATTTTTTCTAGAAATAAAAAAGAAAGTGTGACATATATCAACGTGTGTCTTTTTTCATATTTTTTTATTTTATTTATTTATTTATTTATAATGGTCAGTCTTACAATTCAATAAAATAAAAATAAATTAATAACAATTTTACCAAGCCCACCTTGGGCTTTTTAACCATTGTTAACTATAGGAAATATTAAATTAATGCACAAAAATCAATATCACATGTTGTAGGTGAATTGCCTTCTCCGCACAAAACCCATCTTAATAAATTTAACAATCTTACAGATATGTTCCCTAAAAAGAAATTCAATTTTGCTACCACCATTATCCAAATTTTAAAAATTTTAAAATCTCATGTGTCATATTTGACATTGAATTTTTGCTTTGACAAATAAAGTGTATTTCTTCCGTTGAATGTTAAAAGACTAATTGGGTCCATAAAGAATTTGATCAAACATAATTAAAGGGTAATGCAGTTGTTGGCCTGTTAGGTCAAGTGACTTTTTTCACCTGTGCCTCAAGATTTATATCAAGATTCTAGTTTTATACCTTTCATTGAATCTTTATTGTCTCTTTGACTTTTTAATACCCTTCATGCACATCTATGTTTTTCAGGGCCGAACAGGTGTGATGATCTGTGCGTATCTGCTGCATCGGGGAAAGTTCCAGGATGTCGATGAAGTTCTTCAGTTTTATGGCGTGGCAAGGACGAGAGATGAAAAAGTAATGAGACTATTGTAGTTTCTACTCATTTTTTCTCAACCTTTATTTTTTGACAATAGGAAGGCTAAATTACATGTTTTAAGAGGATGTGTACAATGTGAAGACGCAGAATCATGCAGGTCCTCTGAGGATTAGTTCACCACTTCATAGTATTTATGTGTTTGATTGAGTATAAAGGTATAGGGGGAAAAGTTGTAGTGAGGTCCTGGAAAAACCAATAATAGACGTTTCCGATAAATCGTGCCCTCTTTTGATCCATCAGGGAAACTATAACTTATTGGCTAGATTGATGATGTCATTGGTTGTAGGTAGCAAACTGCCCATTCAAAAATGGTATTAACTTTTTGCTAATTTTATAAAGTACAGCCTATGACATCATCAATCTAGCCAATATATTGTGGTTTCTCTGATGGATCAAAAGATGGCACGATTTATCGGAAACGTCTATTGAGACCAGTGAGATACTAATTCCTGGGGGTCATAATATACCAATTGAATTTTTGAAGTTCTCTAAAAACATGTAGCTTTATTTGCAATAATAATTTTGCAATGATAATTCACCTCAAATGCATAAACAATCTATTTTATTTGGATGAATGAAAAATCTGAAAATTATCCAGATAAATGTCGGATACATTCTAGAATCAAACAGATACATGATCTCAGGTTACTTCAGTGGGGAATGAATTTATAATACACCAATGATTTCAGTTTTTATGTCACTACCAGAAATGGTGACATTTTGTTTTCCAACATTTAGTTTGTTAGTTGGTGTTTGGTCATTGGTGTTCGGCATTCAGTGTCTGTAACAAACGGCAGGTCGTGACACTGCATGTTAATGCCTTGTCTGTTAATTTAGTTCTCACTTTATCAGATGCATCTAAGACCAGTCTCCGAAAGCGTGTTTTTAACCTGTTTTATGTGATCACAAGATAAAAATGATATTTTCTTTTCTTTCAGGGTGTGACTATACCCAGTCAGCGACGCTATGTGCAGTACTATGGACAATTAATAAAACATAACTTAACATACCATTGTGTACCCCTGCTACTACAGGCTATCAAGTTTGAAACTCTGCCGTTGTATAACAGTGGAACCTGCAGTAAGTCTCCTATGTCTGATGGGTCAAAATCAATATGCCTGCGGGTCAAAGTCAATATGTCTGTGGGTCAAAGTCAATATGTCTATGGGTCAAAGTCAATATGTCTATGGGTCAAAGTCAATATGTCTGTGGGTCAAAGTCAATATGTCTATGGGTCAAAGTCAATATGTCCATGGGTCAAAATCAATATGTCTATGGGTCAAAGTCAATATGTCTGTGGGTCAAAGTCAATATGTCTGTGGGTCAAAGTCAATATGTCTGTGGGTCAAAGTCAATATGTCTGTGGGTCAAAGTCAATATGTTTGTGGGTCAAAGTCAATATTTGTGGGTCAAAGTCAATATGTCTGTGGGTCAAAATCAATATGCCTGCGGGTCAAAGTCAATATGTCTGTGGGTCAAAGTCAATATGTCTCTGGGTCAAAGTCAATATGTCTCTGGGTCAAAGTCAATATGACTGTGGGTCAAAGTCAATGTGTCTCTGGGTCAAAGTCAATATGGCTGTGGGTCAAACTCGGCATGCCTGTGGGTCAAAGTCAGCATGCCTTTGGGTAAAAGTCAACATAGCTCTGGGTCAAAATCAACATGCCTGTGGGTCAACATCGCTGTGAGTCAAAGTCAACAAGCCTGTGGGTCAACGTCAACATGCCTGTGGGTGAAAGTCAACATGTTAATGGCTCAAAGTCTGAATATGCCTATGACTCACAACAAGTGATGTTTGTGATAACTAAATGAATATACCTAAGCAAATTCAAGAAAGTTTATTTTGATAAATAAAAAGTAAAAGATCTGAAAGGAACTTCAAAAGGAACTTAGAAAATTGAAATTTTTAGCATTTTGATCATTAAGAGATTTAATGAAAGTTATTTTTGCATGGCTTGTCATTCTCTATTTATTGTAGACCCATTATTCACGATGCATCAGTCAAAGGTCAAGACTTACACCTCACCAGTATATGAAACGCCCAAAAAAGGAAAAGAGCTTATGATGACGTTAGACAAACCCACTGTCACATGTGGCGATATCATGGTTGAATTTTTTAATAAGCCAAAAAGGCCAGGGAAAAAGGTAAAGTATTCTTAACAGTTAAGTTGTCATAGTAATGAATATGATTGCCAAAATGGGATATTTTTTTTTTATTATTACACGTAGTTGTATTATTTTATTATCATAAAAATAGAATTTTAACATCTGATAATTATATTTATCATGATTTTGTCATTATCAGCAAGCCACATTCATATAATGAATCAGAAAGTTAAAATTGAATGTATTGTTTTTTATTATTACATTTACTTGTATTGTTTTTGCATATATTTTTATTATTTCTCTCAGAATCATAAAATCTCATCATAGAAATAGGACCTTAATATTCATTTTTCATTGTGTCAGTTTGACACGCAAGATCTCGGAAAGATTAATGACACTATTATGAGAATAATGTTTCTTGGAAAGATTATAAATATCAAACCATGACTTTATATTTCTCTGAGTTTCCATTTCTGAATTGTCATGAACTTCCAGTAAAATTGACAAATACTGAAATTTTTCAACAATTGCATCAGATTTTAAGCCTCATCATCCCTATTTTCAATCCCTATCCCTATTTTCAATCCCTATCCCTATTTTCAATCCCTATTCCTTGTTTTCAATCTATAGGAGTTTAGCTGAGTAATAAATAAATGTGATTGATTCACTTAAACATAAAATTATACATTGCTCTATATATAAGAGACCATTCATATTTTTACTTTCTTTAGGAAAAGATGTTGCATTTCTGGTTCAATACGTTCTTCGTGAGGGAGAAGGAACAACTGCGTCAATTAAACGGCAGTCAGGAGCCGAATGGTGACTCCATCTATTTGAGCTCAGGGGAATATTTAACACTGACTATACCTAAAGAGGAACTAGACAAAGCCAGTAAAGATAAGGCACACAAATTGTTTAGTCCAAATTTTAAAGTAAGTTTATTTTGAATTTAACTGTATCATCCAAGTTAAAAGGTTTGTTTCTTTAATTGTATGTTTTCTCAGCTGTATAGTCCCTATTTCAAGGTATCAAGGTTCAAGGTAAGTTTACAGAATTGTTTTAAACGCATATCATTTTTCATTTGAAAAAGTTTCAATGTTAAAAAAGGTGCACATGTTATGCTATATTGTATTGTATTCTGGTCACTGCCATATTTTGACTAGCAATACCTCATGGTGTATTCTTTATTATTATTAGCTCACAAAAATCGGCAAAAATTACATCCATTTTTTTTATTTTTCTGCCATTTTAGCCATGATTCACTTTTGAGCAACACCATGTGAGCCCAGTACCCACGGTACTATTTTATTTAACTTATTTTACACTCAAAGCCATTTTCTAACTATTCTTCCAGGTTAAATTATATTTTACAAAAACAGACAGCAGCACAACCTCCACAATGTTTAGCTCATCATCCAGTCATCCTATAACATCATCATCGCAAGCATCAATACAGTCTAATGCCTCCTTAGCCTCTGGGGAGAGGCGTGGGGGTGGGGGCTTTCTCGCGTGTCCCCAGGATAGTAGAGAGAGCGGACTCTCAGACAGTGATGACCAATTATCAGACGGTGATGACACTGATACAGACGATGAAGAATGGCGGGATTTTGAAGTGACGCATGTATGACCACACTCGGGTCGAAAATCAGTCAAGCGTCGTTCAGTTAAAAGCCAATATGTAGTTTGTGATTACGTCAGTAGTGTCTGATATGAAATGAATATGGATCAGGGATCACACCAATGGAGTGTGAAGCTTTGCTCACACCAAAATGGGATCACACCTGTTTAGTGTGGATCAGTCATGCACACCTATGTTATCAAAAGTGTGTATCAGGGTCACATCAGTACATTCATTTGTATATGCTCACACCAATGTAGTGTGAATGAGGGCCCACACCAATGTAGTATGGACCAATAATGTGTGATCAGTAACACTCCGTATGTCAGGATAACACCAGCTGTGTTGGATCAGTTTGAATACAATTCTGTGGAAATTAGTGTACATCTCTGATTAGCGACAGTGATTGTCAGCCACTTAATTGCCAGAAATGCAACTGTCGAATGCATCTAGTTCAAGAAATGGAATCATGTCAAACATATAAAAGCACCAAGAGCTGAATTATTGGCCTGTATGGATTGGAAATATAAGCCAAAAGGGAGTTTTTATTATATTTTGTTGAATAGAAAGGATTAAAGGCCAATGTAAAACTGTAAATGTGGAGAAAGGTGGAAAGTCCCCAAAGGGGATTGAAAGGTCACAGATTTATTTTGAAACATGTTTAACACTTTCAGTGATTGCTGATACAACACATGTTGTCATATGATAATGTCAAATGAACATCAATTTACAAATGATTTGAATGGCAGGTAGACCACAGATTCAAATAACTGAAAATTAGAATTCAGAGCCATGAATCTAAATATTATAACAAATAAGTGAAGTGACGATGATTTATCTCGAGGTGAGATTTTATCATCATGTACGATAATACAGCTGATTAAAATGACAGGTTCCTGTTGAAAATGTTGCCATATATGGTCACAGAATTCCTTTGAAAATTATGTGAAGAGGGAATTGTGTCAGAGTATGAATCGCAATCCATTGTTTCTAAGTCATGAATAAACCAGTGTATTAGTCTTGCATCAAACTTCTCATCATCTATCCCTCTCCGCTTCTATTTCCCAGTCCATGGCAACTGACTAATGCCTCAGTCACATTTGGTCTCCGACAGCCGAGAAATTTGCAGCATAAAATATATGGATAAGCAGTACATTGTAGATTTTCTGTATTGATTTTGTGAAGCTACAGCTGTTGTAAAGCAAATGTGAGGCTAAAGGTAAAGCAGGATTGCCACAATTTATCATATTGGCATTCAGTCCATTGCCCAATAGACATTTTATTGCCATTTATCATATTGGCATTCAGTCCATTGCCCAATAGACATTTTATTGCCATTTATCATATTGGCATTCAGTCCATTGCCCAATAGACATTTTATTGCCATTTATCATATTGGCATTCAGTCCATTGCCCAATAGACATTTTATTGCCATTGGCTGGAAGGCAGGCAGCGAAGCATGTGGCAATCCAGTTCTTCCTCTGTGTTAGAGAGAGAATAGGAAATGCAGGGGCTTGGTACAAGACTATTGTGTAACCTGTGTATGTGAACACCTCCCTAATGTGAACACCTTCTGATGAGAACACCTTTAATATGAACACTTTCTAAGCAATTCTTTTCCCACTGACCAGTTGACTGTCATGTTAACAGACCCTTCCCCAAATGTGAGCATTTGAAATATAAACATCTTTTGAATTAAAGCACTTGAAAACTTCTGAAACTTCAGAAATATGAACATTTTTGAAATGTGAACACTTTTTTGTTTGAATATTAATACTCCTGAAATCTTAAACTTTTGAAATGTTAAAATCTATAAAATATGAACACTTCAAATGCGAACACTTGGAATGTGAACAGATTTTGAGTGTTCTTACGGTGTTCATATTAGATTGGTTTTACAAGGGTACGATTAGTTAGATTTAAGTACCCTCTAAAATGTCCAGGGAATGGCTTATTATATGATACCATCTTGTATTGTATATATTGTCATTTTATTTTATTGATAATTTATATTAAGAAAACTAGTTTTTTATCATTTGACATGCATTTTGATACGGTAGATCATTTCATATGATCACCTCAGCCCATTCATACTTATAAGTCACAATGGTCATTTGCAGGGCTTAAAGTATTCAGGAAATTTCAGGAAAAAATTGACCAAAAACTTACCCCATTGAGTTCAATACAAATCTGGATTTATTTCTAGGGGGCGAGTAGGGGGTCAAGCAAGGGTTTCAAAATTAAGGTCATATTTGTTTAATTTTTTCCTCCGAATTTGAAAGTTTTGTACTCAAGTTTTGCACTCAATCAAAGATATCTTGGAGGGAGGACCCGCCAAAACCAACCGCTCACTTGGACCGCGTCTTTAGTCATTCAAATTTCAGGAAATTTGAAGTATGTTGCTTTTAGCCATGCATTTGTTGCAATTAGGGTACTGCGTCAGTATGTCAATGTTCTCCCGAACTGTGATATATCCTAGATCAACCCCTTCTTTATAAAAATCCATGTAATGTGTGCTAGCAAAATGTAATAGAATTCTACTCTACCACAGTATTGACACGGTCCCTTTGAGAGAGTTGAAAACAAGTTTTCTTTCTGAAGATATTTGGATATATTTAGAAAAACTGATACCATCTTGTATATTGAAAAATGAAATAATAGACTTTTCTTATGAGTAAATCATCAGCAATTGGTCTCTCAGAGTTAGTTGTATAAAAACTAATAAATTAATAATTTATTTGTTTTAAACTTGATTCATTTTTTGAGAGACACAAAGTGCCATAAAAATGATTGAGTGAAAAATGATCAGAGTGGCTAATAAGTATGAAGGTCAGGTTGCAAATACCAAACCAAATGCCAAATACCAACGTGGAGTGCCTCCAAAGTTTTAAACTAAATTCTAAAGAAATTCAATTTTGTTTCTTGGGTTATTGTTAAGAAATAGTTTTGTTAACTCAAATCTGAAGATAATTTGTTTTGACTTTTTTAGAAAAAAAATTTGCATTTGCACATACAAAACGTGTGTTATGCTAACAAGGGTGGGAGGATTGACATTCAAAAAATTGATTACGTTTAGAATCTAGTGTGAAATATTTGAAATGGCCTCTTTATATGGACAGGGTTTTTGCATTAGGATTTTTTACCAACTGGTCAACATTGAATTAAAACCTCTTGCCATGTTGTTTTCATATATCAGCTAGCCTAGCTGTAGAAAACCATTTGGTTTTTAGGCTGATGCTCAAGGTGTACCCTGACCCTGTATTTGCATATGGTGCATATGGTTTGGTGCATGCACCCTGACCCTGTATTTGCATATGGTGCATATGGTTTGGTGCATGCACCCTGAGTACACTATAGGTGATCTAATATCATGCATGTATTTAAGTTATTGAACTGAACTGTTTAGGGTTTTTAGTGTGTAGACATTACACAGTGAAACAAGCCAAGCTTGGTACGAATTGGATAACATGTTTGTTCGATGTATATTTCAGTTCAGTTTTGAGCAAAAGATTTTGTATAAAGAAAGCTTGTAAGGTTTTCTTGAATTATGCTATTACCAAATTTAAAAATTGGTGAAATGAACTTCATTTTACTTAGTTTCTATATTGACCACTTTGAATACTTATCACTATATTTTTATTTTAAGTTATTGCCAACCAAACTCCTTCAACATATAATGATATGAAACAATGATACACAATAATGCCAATAGTGTGGTGTTCAAAAAAGTCAAATATCTAGAAATTAAAAGAGCTACTCACTGTTTGTGTATTTGAAGATTTGGTCAACGATTTTTTGTTATGAATCGGTTAATCTGATTTGAATGGGCCAAAAGAAATTGACTTAATATTTTCTTTGGTGATATGAGTATCTACATTTTTGGTACAATGTCACCAGCATGCATTGATAATATTATATGGTTTTATATACAGGCTCATTGTTGATACTAGGGGTGGTGTCCAAATGTTTACAGTTGTGAAGACAATTAATTTCATTATGGCCTAACCCCCTCCCTCCTACTTATATAACAAACTTAGAAAATGTTGATATGCCTTTCAAACATTTTTTCAAAAATCAGCATTTTCTACCCATTTAACCACCATTTACCCCCCCCCCCCCCCCCCATCAAAGTAAATGTTGTTCTTCCAAAATTGTGACATTTTGACACTTTCCCTTAGCCAAATACGTTTTCTACACTTGATACATTATTGAACATAAACTGTTTTAAAAGGCCTGAATAAAATATGTACCTGCCATTGAAATAGCAACTGACAGGTAGAGGTATACATGTATGTATGTGAACTTTTAACATTTTACGCCCCTCAATGATAGTACAGTAAAACCTATCTATTCTGAACACCCCTTGGACTTGCAACAAGTTCTTGGAATAGCAAGTTGTTTACATTTCGAGTTTTCTTTAACCTGGGAGTCAATGGGAGATTAACAAAACTTAGACCAAGAAAAAGTGTTCACTTTGAGAAGTGTTCACTAGAGAGAGAGGTGTTCAAATATACAGTAAAACCTGTCTTAGTGAACACTTCTCTCTAGTGAATACCTGTGTCTAGAGAACATCTCTTCTAAGCACATATTCCACTTAGTTCTGTATAAACTAAAAATTGCCTCTCTGTAGTGAACACCTACCTATAGTGAATACAATTTTGTGGCTCCATAGGTGTTAACTGAACACAGGTTTTACTGTATATGTTTTGCTATACTGTATGAAAAGAAAGCTCAATAGTAGTTGATAACAATGTCATACTGACATAGCCTGTGTGTAAAAAGCTTCAATGATCATGAATCAGATTAGAATGAAAATGGATAAAATTGGATGAAATTGGAGATAATTGATGAAAACTGAAATAATTAAGAAATAAAATAAGAGCCATGGAGCAGTTATGTATTTTGAATTAACTCGAGGGGATGAGTCAAAATGTCAACTTTTGTGAAAGATATTTGAGGAATGATTTAAAGGTAGAATCAGACTACAAGAGAGACATTGGTTGGAAAATCGTAAATATTGGTTTTTGTCAAAAATTAACATTTTAACCCTCTAACCTTAGAGTTAACAATTTTTAACATAACTGAGGATGCCAATAAATAATGTTTTGTATTGTTCATAAATGTGTGCTGATTTTATAGTACTATACTATACTACTGTATGAATGGGTATGGATCAGGGATTTCAGCAGTAAATTTATTTATTGTAAGTTTATATAAGATAGTTGTCAAAGAACCTAGCTTATTGACTTGCTCAGGCTCTTGGGAACATCATGCCAGAAATCTGACAGTTTCTTAGTAAGTTGAAATTTCCTAAGAAAATCTGAAAATGTTCGGAAATGTCATGTACAGTATTAGCATAGTAACATATAAAGTGGCTCTTTGCCAATATCTGACCTTAAAATACCCCTGAAATTAAAATGTGATAACTTGCAACATTTTAAATAAAATAGATTTGGATACTAAACTTGTTCTCTCAATATATTGCAGTTTGAAAACATTGAGTTAAAGCGACTTTTGAAAACTGAAGCATTTAACTTATACTGCT